AAAACAATAATTAGATAAAAAATTTGGGATAAAATTTTTGTAACTAATTTATTTATTATATTATTTGTGTTAGTTTATGTGGTGGTTGTGGGAGGGGGGGGGGGCGGGGGAGGTGCCGAGAAAGATCTAAAAACAGATCATGAAGCCATGATAATCTACCTTTTGGCTGGATTCTTCGGGTCAAAATCCCAATCCACATTTCTCATATTCAACACTTCACTTGAACGTCTCTTTTCAGCTTTTTGGAAAAAAAAGGGGTGGAGGGGGGAAGGCATAGAAAAAAACAGTCTATGCGACAAAGCATTATTCCACGTAAAATCGTATAAATAACAATTACCGCACTGCTTACTATCTAAAGGTCCGTTTACACATATGATTTGTTGCGCTATGTTACTGCGTTTTATTTAGCGATTTCGTGGCGATTTTATGCAGAGTTCCAATTTTTATGTAACAGTTACCGCAACATTTTTCTCTGATGTAAATGCTTATTTGAAGAGGTAGTCTCCTTTGTACCTCAGGAGCAGAAATCAGAGAAATCAAATGGCAAAGAAATTCGAGCAAGTTCAAATTAACAATGATTTAGCAGCAAAAAATTATCGCCATAAAATCGATGGTAGTTACACGCGTGACTGCAAGTCGTACCTAAATCGCAGAAAAAATATACACGCGACAATTTGCTTATGTCAGAAAACATGCCTTAACTGAACCGTGTTGGTGGCGCCATTTGTCAGTCTATTGTTTGCTAGGAGCTCGACAAAGACATCGCAGTTCAACACCTTAACCTAGACGAGATGAATTACATGGACAGCCACAAGAACCTACAAAGTTATAAATTGTCTCTTACCCAGTGAGAACAAAAAAGACGTAGGATGCTGCATTACTGAAGAACTGAAATCAAACAACAAAACAATGATCTTCACTTTCAAAACAATGATAGTAATAAATTCAGTACAAGAAAAGACAAACCGCAAAAACTTACATCATCCAACCACATAAACTGGAATGGTACTGTTATCTAAAATACAAGAGACATGTTTAACATGTTTGCTTTCCTTCTACTTTCTGTGGAAAGGACAAATGAGCGAACATCTAATTTCATTGCTTAATTTCTTCTTCTACTACACTCGTAATACCACTATGCGGCTTACTTTTGCGGGATGTAATACAAATATAGAATTTCATATATTTACATGGTAAAGTCACTTTCCACTAAACCTACATATTGATTTACTACAGATCAAACTGAGGGCCAAGAAGAACCATAAAACAATAACGGTATATCAGTAACAGATCAAAATTAAATCCAGGTTAAAATTTTTTAGCCTAGTTTGATTCTCTATTTCTTGGCTAGGTGAGAATCAACCTGAATCTAATTTGACCTCTAACATATCCGCGCAACACGGGTGGAAAAAGTTTTAATCCGAAACCCGGAAGACACCTTTGCTTGCGCCTCCTTTTAGAAATAAACTTCAGGCGACGGACGGCAACCGTAAGTGGACTTGTTACATTTTTCGGGCGGAAGTCGTCTCCACGAGAGTAAAGACAGCAATAAATCCAACACCAGGAACTTAAAGTTTGATGTTTAGCAAATAACCTCCGTGAGAAGTAAAAAATTCTGTACGTTTGAATTCGACTAAAACGAAAATATATTTCAAACCTTAAATTTTCAATAGCCGTGAAACGTTATAAGCGACTCAAAATTATTCTTAAGTAGCGTCAGAATGCTGCTTAATATCATATTTCGATGCTAGGAAATTTTGGTGTATTTTCGTTCTTGCGGTCTTAAAAACTAACCCGTTTTCTCACAACCTGTCTAAGTGCAACTTCATTCAAAATTTGGACTTTTAGCGCTTTTTTGTATATCTCTGAAACGACTCGAACGAATAATAATAATCTTCATAATGTATATAATAATGTCTGCAAGATTCATTAAGATTGATTCACTGCAATACCTTGAAATTTCAAAACAAACCTATCCTACGAACCGGTCAAAAATCCGCGCTACAACATTCAATGTTTTGACGTTATGCTAATTCTTCTAAATTAATGCGGACAATACATATATCTATGACTAGTACATTTCAGTGTGAGTATTGTCAATGTTTTACATTCAAAAGATGCGATAAATTCAAACTAAAATGTACCTATACCTAACCCTGAAGCCTATAAAGTCTATATAAGGGACTACCCCTGCCCGGGGCGAAAAACGCGTTGCAGATTATGAGTCTCGCTGCTACGCAAGCCAGACTAAGGGCCTGTTTACATAGAGTGGGGGACCCCGGTCTAGTGGGGTTGGTTTCTTTTGTTTTCACGCTCTGGGGGACACAAAACAAAAGAAACCTACCCCACTAGACCGGGGTCCCCCACTCCATGTAAACAGGGTCTAATTAACTTTACGCATGTTAAATGCCTCATTATAATCCGGCCAAATAAACCTGATGGCG